TAATTTATTACAACTTTCAGATACAATTATCGCAACAAGAGTGCCTTGCTGAGTTACTGTCTGTTTTCGGCAATGAAGCGCCACATCAGTCCACAATTTCCCGTTGGTATGAAGAATTCAAACGTAGACGGGTGAGTCTTAGCAACGATCCCAGGGTGGGTGCGCCAAAAACCCAGGAAGACGTCGATGCTGTGCGCAAATTCATCATTGAAGATAGACATGTGACAGATCGCGAGATTGAGGCGTCCTTGATGATCTCAAAGACCTCAATTCAAAAAATTTTACATGAAGTATCAGGAGTAAGAAAATTAGTTTCTCGTTGGATACCCCACCTGTTAACTGAAGAGCAGAAAGCAGCCAGGGTTAATTGGTGTCAAAAAACGCTTGACCGTTTCAGTTCCGGAAACTCTAAAAATGTGTACAGCATTGTTAGTGGTGATGAATCGTGGATTTGCTGTTATGAACCAGAAAATAAACGACAGTCGACTGTTTGGGTGTTCCAAGGTGAAGAAAAACCAACAAAAGTCATCCGTTCTCGAAGTGCTTCGAAAAAGATGGTCGTGACATGTGTGTCAAAAGCGGGTCATATTACAACAATTCCTCTTAATAAGCAAAGAACTGTTACTGTGGATTGGTATAGCACCATTTGTTTGCCAAAAGTCATCACCGAGCTTCGAAAAATCAACCACGAAAGAAGAATCATCCTCCACCAAGACAATCGCACACAGCGCAAAAAAACAAGGCAGTATTTAACGGAAGAAAACGTGGAATTATTGAACCATCCTCCATATAGTCCCGATCTAAGTCCTAACGATTTCTTTACTTTTCCGAAAATTAAAAACGGACTACGTGGTCACAGGTTCCAGTCACCAGAAGAAGCAGTTGATGCATTTAAAAATGCCGTAATTAATTCGTAGAAAACACTTCGAAAAACAATAAAGTCATTTAAAACTACCTAGCGTGTTGTTTTATTGCCATATGCAAAACTTAAGACATCCCACCTAATATACGGATTGGCAAGATAAAATGCTTTAAAGGCACGAAGATTGTACGCTGACACATTCCCTAATAGACACCTGCATAATTCAAGGACTTTCCAACGAATCAATCAGCGGTTACGAGAAGCTGCTAAGAAATGATTATAGCCTTATTTTGAGTAGTAGAAACCATTTGGACTTTAGGAAGTATTGCTCAAAATATGAGTCGACATAGTGGAGCTCCCAAAACTGTATGTACAGCTAAAGTTGAAGAAAATGCTTTAGATGCTGTCTTTGAAACTCCTACAGTTGGGGTTGGGAATGTAGCTCGAGAATTTCAAGTTTCCAAATGTACAGTAAATACCATTTTTCAAGAGAGACTGCTCCATCCATACCACCTGCAAGAGTATATGACTCTTAAGGCAGTTTAACAACGACAATGGTTTTACTTCGTTAATATTATTTTCGGACGAAACAGGATTTGGAAGGGATGGGCATGGACATTTATGCAGACGAAAATCCTCATGCAATAATAAAAACCCGCCACCAAGTACAATTTCAAATTATGGGCTGGAATAATTGGACAATAATTAATAGGACCCATTGAGTTACCACGTAAACTAATTGGCAAAAGCTATTTACAATTTCTTGAAGAACATTTAACCACTCTGCTGGAAGATCTTCCATTAAAAACACGCATGAATATGTGGTTTATGCACGACGGCGCTCCACCTCATCTTAGTATATTATTTAGAGAGCAAATAGATAGAGTTTATCCAGAACCTGTATCGTGGCCGGCTAGATCGCCAGATTTAAATCCTATAGATTTCTTCTTCTGGGGTGATTTAAAACAACGCGTTTACAATACGCCAGTGGAAACTAGATAATCTTCGACAAAGAATTTTCCACCATAGCCAGGAAATGAAAAATAACATCCAAATGCTTTGGAGAGTGCAGCATGGATTATAATGACACACGACAAGAAAATTATATGTAATTGAACATTTTGAATAGTGTATTAGTGAATTCAGAAAAGCTTAGAAAACATGTCAAGTAAGTTGTCTCTGCACTTCTCACGCTACGGTGTCATCAGTTCGTAAAGCATTATGTTTTGCACAGGTTAGCCCTTCTGAGAAAAAAGCTAGCACCGATAGACACGAACATGTATGACCAAAAATGAAATGATCTTCCTCCTCCCCCTGAGAGGAATTGCTGCAGGTGCACATAATTGTTACGATGACTAATCCCGCGTGAACGACGATATTGGCCTTCACCACGCACAGTGCACGCAGCACAGTAGTGTGGAGGTGTTTGCCGACTATGACGTACGACCATGGTAACTACGCTTGTCCATCGGACGACGTGGCACACACATCGACATCCAACTGTAGGAGATATTTCTAACTTTTAAGGGTAAATGTCCAGGGACATCTATGAATGAAATATGCCGAACATGTGCGTAGAATCATTGGGTTAGGAGGCGTATAAATATATCTACCAACGTTAAAAGATTGAGATACCAAGAGTTTTTAACCCCTACAAAAATTTTCCCGAAAATGAGCATAATCATCTAAAGTGCCACAAAACGAAGATTTGGTGATTTTTAATTTTTGGCTTTTTCCATCACCGCCACTGGACCGAATTTCAAAAACTACAATGCTTTTGTGTACTTAGCATAGGAGTAATATTGTGTAAAAATTTCATCGAAATCCGAGCGGTACTTCTCAGGTTATAGGCGGTTATAAAATTAGAGGACAGACCGACAGACCAACAGACCGTCAGACCGACAAAGCAACAGACCGACACCGACAGACAGATAGAAATGAGTGATATGGTATTTCATGATGTGCATGTCAGATGACATCCAAAAACAATTATATGGCATTTACGAAAATTTCCGCGAGCACGATAGTTCCCCGCCAGTAGGCGTGGAAAGGAACAAATTACCTTGATAACTTAAAAGTGTAGCTTTAGAGCATTCGATAAATTTTTACAAACATAGCCGTCATAATAAATTCGTTATTTCCGTTTTTAAAAGTATATATCTATCAGAAACAAAATAACAATTATCTTACTGAAGAAATGAAACAAAAGGTTCAAGTTCTGCAAAACTGTTGCATGAGGTTTTCTCTCAATGCGATCAGCAGACAAGATCGCATCACTTGCTATTATTTCAGAAAAAATGTTCAAATACCTCGTGTTGCTCCTCTATGCCGCTTGATTGTTTGAAATATAAATCTCTAAATTATCGTTTTAACATTTTAGAGAAAAAATATTCACCTCGTGATATATACTTGCGTAATGAGGAATTGCTACAATATTCCGACCCATACTAGATCAAAATTTGATAAATGTTTGTATTACACTGCTCCTACTAAATGCTAACCCAAAATTTTTCAAAATAGCATCCAACCTTAATTTTATGAAAGTATTTGAGGAAGCTGCTGTAGCTACAATTTGATGAAGCTTGAAGTAATAAAATATAAAATTTCTGGAATTATAACTGTTACCAATATTACTATCTTTTGAAAATTTATATTACAATTATATGGCTGAGTTCTTGTATATGGTGCATATGATTTTCTTACACTGTAGATACAATCGACTGCAATATGGATTGTATCTACATTAGCTACTCAAGCTAGGGTGAAAAATAGCTTTGTGAATTCCCCCCTCGCCTTTCAATTTGAGTCCCTTTTTCAAAGACATACTCTGATTTAAAATATTAGCTTGATGAAAAGAAACTTGCAAGCAAATGTTTTTTTTTTGATACAATATTGTTGTTATTGACTTTTCATATCTGTATTTTACGGATGAAAACTTACAGTTGTGAGTACGAGAGAATTCTACACAAAGCATACGGGGAAGAGGGTACAGAGTTGACTAAATTTGCAATATGTTGTCTAGTTTGATCTTCTGATTCAAAGGCCTCATGAATATAAAGTTCAATAGTGGTACTGGACAAGTCCCAAGTTGAGGAACACAGGTCGTATCTGCCGTGGAAGCCCATATAGTCCAATAAGTACCACGTCAAACTTAAGGAGAAGGCAGGCTTTAAACTGACCTCCCAAATAACAAAAACTTACCTATATAAAAGTGTCACTGTTTTTGAGATATTTTCTTCTTAAATTAAAAGAAAAAAGAACATTTTCATCTGTGGTCGTTAGCTGCATGTACAAATAAGGTTATACTTTATTCATTTTTTTCTATAAAATACTTCTCGATAAGTGCTTTATGATATACAAATGCAATGTAGTTAAAAGATATTAAGGAGAGTCCGTACCTGCCCAGTTTAGCTCAGCAGCTACTGATCTGTGCTCCGTAAATCTATAGGATTTTATAGTGAATTTAGTTAATTTTTCGTTTCGATTTCTACGTAGACATTAACAGCTAGCATCAGACTGTAAGTACTGCATTACAGAATCCTGAAATAATTTGTTTTCAACATAAAGTACGTGCATAAACAAATCGCTACAAACTAGAACCATCCGTTTGCTACGAAATTCCAAGGAATTCCACGTCTGTTCACAGTCGGGGACAGGTCCGTACTGGAAATGGTGCAAGGAAGGTTTGAGTCAGAAGAATACGTATACTAACAATATGGAAGGCGTTAATATTCCTACAGAAACTCAAAACAGCAACTCACCACTAAATTACTCCCGAGCTCTCAACCGCCAGATATCCAAATACCCTAACAAGGAGCAGGCTATAATATTTAATACAATAGATGGAGCCCGAATACAAGATTATATCATCGAATTAGGTCCTCTAGTTGAGCCAAAAAATATCATATTCTGTTCTAGAGTAGCAAATAACAGAATACGTGTTTACTTATCCAGCAAAAACGCAGTCGATGCATTTTTGGACAACCATGGGAAAATCGTTGTTCATGGTGAAACTATTAAGGCGAGGAGATTAGTCACACCATCGGATCGTTTGGTCATATCAAATGTGTCCCCTACTATTCCACACAATATTATTCAAAACTGCTTGGAGCAGTTAGGTCTCCAGTTACAATCTCCCATGTCATTCCTAAGGATTGGGGCCACTATTCCAGAGTATAGTCATATACTCAGCTTCAGACGTCAAGTATACATAGCTCCCACCGAAAGTACCATACCAGAATCCTTGGTGATTAGTCATGAAGGGTTGTCATATCGCATATTCTTATCATTGGACAGCCAAAAATGTTTCAAGTGCAACCAATCAGGACACATAGCCAACAATTGCAGATCTACATCCCAACCATCGACCTCAAACATGGATGATACCGTCCTTCCCTCATCCTCAGTAAAACCCAATAATAACATGTCTAGCAGTATTCAACTGGAACCCACTATCACACAGGCAGCCGAAGTTCGACAGACACAACTGCCAATCTTAACTGAAGAATCTCCTAACAGACAGACCATATCCACTCCACAACCAATATTGAGTCAAAGCAAAGAACTTAACATAGAAATGCCACCTACTCCATCCGTAGCAACCACCGACGATGGCAGCAACACAGGCAAAAGAAGTTTTTCAACAATTGTTACCCCAACATCAGATGTTGAAACCTCATCAACTCCAACCTCCGGACCGACCTTTATAAAGCCAGCTAAAGCATCAGTGAAAAAACCAAAAATAGACTCCCAGCAAGCAGTTATTTCAGATCAAGCCTACGAACCAGCCAAACGTTTTATAGACACAAACCAAGACCTTTTAGTATTAAATTCTATCCAGATGAAAAGTCTCTTAGAAAATGTGCACGGAACCCAGAACGTTATATCAGTAGTAAACGAATACACCGTAGATATAAAAAGCTTGATTGAAACAATACTGCTCATATACCCTCATTTATCGGACCGAGCCCTGAAGAACAGGTTAACCAGGTTGCGCAAAAAACTAGAACGGCACATCGAAAATGACAATATCAACAGCGAAACCTCTTCTGTAGATTCTAGTTTCTTTTAATAATTTACAATGGCGTTCAAATCCATATTGCAGTGGAATCTAAATGGTTACTACCCACGCTTAAACATGCTACGTAAACTTATATCTGACTTTGCACCTGATATCATATGTCTTCAGGAAACTCACTTCCATGAATCTAAAACAAATTCACCTAAAGGATATAATGGATTTTTCAAAAATCGCAATAGTGCAACAGCCAGTGGAGGAGTAGCTATTTACGTAAGTTGCGACACTCCTACTAACCCACTTAATCTTACCACCAATCTGGAAGCGATTGCAGTAACTTTGGATGCTCCTGAAAAGCTAACTATCTGTAACGTATACATTCCTCCGAATTACCACATAGATGACCAAGAACTAGAATCACTTTTGCAACAAATACCTTCCCCAAGGATAGTTCTAGGTGACTTCAATGCACATAACTACACATGGGGCTCATTCAAAAATGACTCAAGGGGAAACCTAGTAAACGACCTACTAGATTCATTTGGCTTAGCTTTACTGAATGACGGCAATAGTACCAGATTTGATGCTGCTACGGGCAGATTCTCCGCTATCGATCTTAGCATATGTTCTCCCAGGCTCCTTAGCCACCTACAATGGAATACACAAGAAGGCTTATATGGAAGTGACCATTTTCCAATAGTTATTACTAACTCAAAGTTCTGCAATAACAATGAGACAATGCCACCCCTTAAATGGAGATTGCAAAATGCAGACTGGAACCAATTTGCGACTCATATAGAAAATAATCTAAGACAAGAAATATTCCCCGAGGATGACATTAATTCCATAATTGAACAATTCAGCAAGGTCATCACAGATGCCGCACATCGCAGTATGGGGAAAACTAACCACATCAGGAAAAGAAATCCAGTCCCTTGGTGGAACAATGAATGCGAAGCAGCACTTCAATCCAGTAAACGAGCTATCAACAGACACAAGAGGCATAAAAATATCAACACGTTGATGGAGTTACGCAGCAGACAGACTTATTTGAAGCTCACAACAAGAAAAAGCCAAAAATTATCATGGCAATCATACGTCAGTAGCATTACTAGCGATACACCCATTTCAAAGGTGTGGAAAAAAGTGAAAAACATATCCGGGGGAAAGACTTACTCGGCTATAAAATGTCTGAAAGAGGGAAACCGAAATGTTACAGGTAGCCAACAAATCTCAGAAGTATTGTCTAAAACGTACTATTCCCATTATAGTGTCGAGAACTATCCGGCCGGATTTCTAAGCTATAAGGCAATTTCAGAATCAAAACAAATTATAATAGAAGATGACAGTGAACCAATTAATACGCCCATATCAGAATCTGAATTTACAGAAGCACTAAACGATCTCAAAGATACGGCCGCCGGTCCCGATGACATACCAGCCATATTTTTGAAACATCTTCCGTTTTCTGCTAGGAAACTTTTACTAGATTTATTCAATAATATTTGGACCAACCATGTATTCCCTGAGGTCTGGAGACAAGCCATAACTATTCCCGTGCTCAAGCCTAACAAATCTCCACAACTCCCTGAATCATATAGACCGATATCTTTAACCTGTTGTATGTGTAAGCTGCTTGAAAAGATAGTAAATCGAAGACTGTTATGGAGCTTAGAACACAGGAACCTGCTAATATCTGAACAAGCTGGATTCAGATCAAACAGAAGCACCACAGACAACATAATAGATTTGGAAACCCATATACACGAAGCCTTCTCGGACAGCCAACACTGTGTAGCAATCTATTTCGACATTAATAAAGCATTCGATACTACCTGGAAATACAATATCATCTCGAAACTTCATAAATGGGGGTACAATGGTAACATATTATCGTTTGTCTCTAACTTCCTACAAAACAGAATCTTTCAAGTACGGTCAAATGGAGTGCTATCAGAACCAAAACAGCAAACGAACGGATTACCTCAAGGCTCTGTTATTAGTCCAACCCTTTTCCTAATAGCAATCAATGATGTGTTACAAGATATTGAGAAACCTTTGCAAGCACGTCTGTACGCAGATGATATGATTGTTTATGTCAGAGGCAAGAACTTAACAACAAATATAACACTACTGCAAAAGTATCTTGACAAGCTTGATTACTGGTCCAATCAAACAGGATTTGTGTTTTCCCCAGAGAAAACCAAATGCATTATATTCTCTAGAAGACCGATTCACGAAGAACCCCCATTGAAGTTATGCAAGAAATCCTTGGAATATACCAGTGAAATCAAATTTCTTGGGGTAACCTTCGATAACAGATTAAACTGGAAGAAACACATCGCAAATGTCATTAAATCATGCCAGGCAGGAATGAATATGTTAAGATATTTATCTAATAGACATTGGGGCGCAGAAGGTAAATTGCTACTTATGATTTATAGAGCATTAATAAGATCAAAAATGGATTACGGATGTGTTGCTTACAACTCAGCTAAGCCCTCAACTCTAAAACCCCTAGATGTTTTACACAACACCGCCTTGCGATTGATCCTGGGAGCATACAGAACAACTCCAGTCGATAGCCTGTACTGCGAATCGGGAGAAGCGCCACTACATACCAGACGTCAGATACTAAGTCTTTCCTACTTCAACAAGAAAATCAGCAATCTTAATATGGCGGCTCAAAAATATCTATCCACTAAAAGAAATTATAGAGATACGCTGTGGGGTACCCCTTTCCAGAATAGAATTAAAATTTACCTAAGAAAACTCAACATACAAAATCCACCATCCACACTTCCCATCTTCCCAGTAACTATTCCACCATGGACACTATACAAGCCAGCCAGTATCACAACTCTTACAAAATTCGACAAAACCAATACACCAAACGAAGTAGTAAATCAACATTTCCGAAGTATTATTGGAGAATTTACAGAAGCTCAACAATTATACACAGATGCCTCGAAGATTGGACAAAACATAGGTGCCGCTGTAGTTACTCCTTCAGGTCCAATGAAATTCAAGCTACCCGAAACAGCCTCAATACTAACGGGCGAATTGTATGCAATTAGAGAAGCTATGCAATACATCAAACTAAGCTCCAGTCGGAAGTGGGTCATCATTACCGACTCCCTTAACTCAGTTACACTGATCACAAAAATATATAACAATAATCCACTGGTCAATATTATAAAAATGGAAATACATAGCCTTGCACTCCAAAATAAAGAAGTAACCATAATATGGGTGCCATCACACAAAAATATACAGGGCAACCAAATAGCTGACGAGAACGCAAAAATGGCTGCGAACATGGACACAGTGACAAACAAGAAAGTTCCTACATCAGATGTGAAACTATTTTACCAAAATCGAACCATTGATTACTGGAACAATGCATGGCAAAATAAATCAGCCAAACTATTGAAGGTAAAACACCATCTAAGTCCATGGCAGACCATCACCTCCAATAGAAGGCAGCAGACAATCTTAAGCCGTCTTCGTCTGGGCCACACCAGATTAACACATGAATACCTAATCATGCAGCAACCGGAACCCTATTGTGTGTTTTGTGACGTGATTTTAACTGTTGAACATATTTTAGTGGAGTGCCCAATGTTAGAACATTACAGAATATCATGTAACCTTGATAAAGAACTATCAGTTATACTAGGACCAAGTAGCAATCTCACAAACCTCCTGAAATTTCTACAAAAATGCAAATATCTAAGTAAACTGTAATTTATTAAATCCGCCGCTAATGGCCAATTGGGTCGATGCGGCTTCTGTATTTACAAATAAAAAAAAAAGATATTAAGGAACCATGATCAGATAAGGACTATTTTGAGATTTATAACCTTCTGATATTTTTTCCTTAACTTTGACCATCTATGGTGAAACAAAAATATACTGGGCTATAACTGCATTATATTGAATAAAAAGGTTGCTCATTGAATACAGATTTTAGAAAGGCACCACACGTACTGTTTGGAATAGAAGAAAATGATAGCTGCTTTTGTAAGTCACTGACAACACACTACAATGTAATTATTGAATTTAAATTCAAGTTGCACTGGTTACCGATCAGCGACATGCTAAATAGCACAAAGCTACATTATTATTACCTGTTCCTGATATGATTTTATTCAAATTCGGACTCGAGTCAGTAACAATACAAAAGAATTATTTTTGTAAATGACGGGTTAGCGTGAAATAAAGCACAAATTGTTTGTGGGAAAAATTTGTTTATTTATTGACAAAATATGCTCAAATTGGCGATCTCCTACTCTAATGCAAGCTCGGCATCATTATGGGCTGGAAATAATTGGACAATAATTAATAGGACCCATTGAGTTACCACGTAAACTAATTGGCAAAAGCTATTTACAATTTCTTGAAGAACAATTAACCACTCTGCTGGAAGATCTTCCATTAAAAACACGCATGAATATGTGGTTTATGCACGACGGCGCTCCACCTCATCTTAGTATATTATTTAGAGAGCAAATAGATAGAGTTTATCCAGAACCTGTATCGTGGCCGGCTAGATCGCCAGATTTAAATCCTATAGATTTCTTCTTCTGGGGTGATTTAAAACAACGCGTTTACAATACGCCAGTGGAAACTAGATAATCTTCGACAAAGAATTTTCCACCATAGCCAGGAAATGAAAAATAACATCCAAATGCTTTGGAGAGTGCAGCATGGATTATAATGACACACGATAAGAAAATTATATGTAATTGAACATTTTGAATAGTGTATTAGTGAATTCAGAAAAGCTTAGAAAACATGTCAAGTAAGTTGTCTCTGCACTTCTCACGCTACGGTGTCATCAGTTCGTAAAGCATTATGTTTTGCACAGGTTAGCCCTTCTGAGAAAAAAGCTAGCACCGATAGACACGAACATGTATGACCAAAAATGAAATGATCTTCCTCCTCCCCCTGAGAGGAATTGCTGCAGGTGCACATAATTGTTACGATGACTAATCCCGCGTGAACGACGATATTGGCCTTCACCACGCACAGTGCACGCAGCACAGTAGTGTGGAGGTGTTTGCCGACTATGACGTACGACCATGGTAACTACGCTTGTCCATCGGACGACGTGGCACACACATCGACATCCAACTGTAGGAGATATTTCTAACTTTTAAGGGTAAATGTCCAGGGACATCTATGAATGAAATATGCCGAACATGTGCGTAGAATCATTGGGTTAGGAGGCGTATAAATATATCTACCAACGTTAAAAGATTGAGATACCAAGAGTTTTTAACCCCTACAAAAATTTTCCCGAAAATGAGCATAATCATCTAAAGTGCCACAAAACGAAGATTTGGTGATTTTTAATTTTTGGCTTTTTCCATCACCGCCACTGGACCGAATTTCAAAAACTACAATGCTTTTGTGTACTTAGCATAGGAGTAATATTGTGTAAAAATTTCATCGAAATCCGAGCGGTACTTCTCAGGTTATAGGCGGTTATAAAATTAGAGGACAGACCGACAGACCAACAGACCGTCAGACCGACAAAGCAACAGACCGACACCGACAGACAGATAGAAATGAGTGATATGGTATTTCATGATGTGCATGTCAGATGACATCCAAAAACAATTATATGGCATTTACGAAAATTTCCGCGAGCACGATAGTTCCCCGCCAGTAGGCGTGGAAAGGAACAAATTACCTTGATAACTTAAAAGTGTAGCTTTAGAGCATTCGATAAATTTTTACAAACATAGCCGTCATAATAAATTCGTTATTTCCGTTTTTAAAAGTATATATCTATCAGAAACAAAATAACAATTATCTTACTGAAGAAATGAAACAAAAGGTTCAAGTTCTGCAAAACTGTTGCATGAGGTTTTCTCTCAATGCGATCAGCAGACAAGATCGCATCACTTGCTATTATTTCAGAAAAAATGTTCAAATACCTCGTGTTGCTCCTCTATGCCGCTTGATTGTTTGAAATATAAATCTCTAAATTATCGTTTTAACATTTTAGAGAAAAAATATTCACCTCGTGATATATACTTGCGTAATGAGGAATTGCTACAATATTCCGACCCATACTAGATCAAAATTTGATAAATGTTTGTATTACACTGCTCCTACTAAATGCTAACCCAAAATTTTTCAAAATAGCATCCAACCTTAATTTTATGAAAGTATTTGAGGAAGCTGCTGTAGCTACAATTTGATGAAGCTTGAAGTAATAAAATAGTTAATTCCTGGAATTATAACTGTTACCAATATTACTATCTTTTGAAAATTTATATTACAATTATATGGCTGAGTTCTTGTATATGGTGCATATGATTTTCTTACACTGTAGATACAATCGACTGCAATATGGATTGTATCTACATTAGCTACTCAAGCTAGGGTGAAAAATAGGTTTGTGAATTCCCCCCTCGCCTTTCAATTTGAGTCCCTTTTTCAAAGACATACTCTGATTTAAAATATTAGCTTGATGAAAAGAAACTTGCAAGCAAATGTTTTTTTTTGATACAATATTGTTGTTATTGACTTTTCATATCTGTATTTTACGGACGAAAACTTACAGTTGTGAGTACGAAAGAATTCTACACAAAGCATACGGGGAAGAGGGTACAGAGTTGACTAAATTTGCAATATGTTGTCTAGTTTGATCTTCTGATTCAAAGGCCTCATGAATATAAAGTTCAATAGTGGTACTGGACAAGTCCCAAGTTGAGGAACATAGGTCGTATCTGCCGTGGAAGCCCATATAGTCCAATAAGTACCACGTCAAACTTAAGGAGAAGGCAGGCTTTAAACTGACCTCCCAAATAACAAAAACTTACCTATATAAAAGTGTCACTGTTTTTGAGATATTTTCTTCTTAAATTAAAAAAAAAAGAACATTTTCATCTGTGGTCGTTAGCTGCATGTACAAATAAGGTTATACTTTATTAATTTTTTTCTATAAAATACTTCTCGATAAGTGCTTTATGATATACAAATGCAATGTAGTTAAAAGATATTAAGGAGAGTCCGTACCTGCCCAGTTTAGCTCAGCAGCTACTGATCTGTGCTCCGTAAATCTATAGGATTTTATAGTGAATTTAGTTAATTTTTCGTTTCGATTTCTACGTAGACATTAACAGCTAGCATCAGACTGTAAGTACTGCATTACAGAATCCTGAAATAATTTGTTTTCAACATAAAGTACGTGCATAAACAAATCGCTACAAACTAGAACCATCCGTTTGCTACGAAATTCCAAGGAATTCCACGTCTGTTCACAGTCGGGGACAGGTCCGTACTGGAAATGGTGCAAGGAAGGTTTGAGTCAGAAGAATACGTATACTAACAATATGGAAGGCGTTAATATTCCTACAGAAACTCAAAACAGCAACTCACCACTAAATTACTCCCGAGCTCTCAACCGCCAGATATCCAAATACCCTAACAAGGAGCAGGCTATAATATTTAATACAATAGATGGAGCCCGAATACAAGATTATATCATCGAATTAGGTCCTCTAGTTGAGCCAAAAAATATCATATTCTGTTCTAGAGTAGCAAATAACAGAATATGTGTTTACTTATCCAGCAAAAACGCAGTCGATGCATTTTTGGACAACCATGGGAAAATCGTTGTTCATGGTGAAACTATTAAGGCGAGGAGATTAGTCACACCATCGGATCGTTTGGTCATATCAAATGTGTCCCCTACTATTCCACACAATATTATTCAAAACTGCTTGGAGCAGTTAGGTCTCCAGTTACAATCTCCCATGTCATTCCTAAGGATTGGGGCCACTATTCCAGAGTATAGTCATATACTCAGCTTCAGACGTCAAGTATACATAGCTCCCACCGAAAGTACCATACCAGAATCCTTGGTGATTAGTCATGAAGGGTTGTCATATCGCATATTCTTATCATTGGACAGCCAAAAATGTTTCAAGTGCAACCAATCAGGACACATAGCCAACAATTGCAGATCTACATCCCAACCATCGACCTCAAACATGGATGATACCGTCCTTCCCTCATCCTCAGTAAAACCCAATAATAACATGTCTAGCAGTATTCAACTGGAACCCACTATCACACAGGCAGCCGAAGTTCGACAGACACAACTGCCAATCTTAACTGAAGAATCTCCTAACAGACAGACCATATCCACTCCACAACCAATATTGAGTCAAAGCAAAGAACTTAACATAGAAATGCCACCTACTCCATCCGTAGCAACCACCGACCATGCCAGCAACACAGGCAAAAGAAGTTTTTCAACAATTGTTACCCCAACATCAGATGTTGAAACCTCATCAACTCCAACCTCCGGACCGACCTTTATAAAGCCAGCTAAAGCATCAGTGAAAAAACCAAAAATAGACTCCCAGCAAGCAGTTATTTCAGATCAAGCCTACGAACCAGCCAAACGTTTTATAGACACAAACCAAGACCTTCTAGTATTAAATTCTATCCAGATGAAAAGTCTCTTAGAAAATGTGCACGGAACCCAGAACGTTATATCAGTAGTAAACGAATACACCGTAGATATAAAAAGCTTGATTGAAACAATACTGCTCATATACCCTCATTTATCGGACCGAGCCCTGAAGAACAGGTTAAAAAAAAAAAAGATATTAAGGAACCATGATCAGATAAGGACTATTTTGAGATTTATAACCTTCTGATATTTTTTCCTTAACTTTGACCATCTATGGTGAAACAAAAATATACTGGGCTATAACTGCATTATATTGAATAAAAAGGTTGCTCATTGAATACAGATTTTAGAAAGCCACCACACGTACTGTTTGGAATAGAAGAAAATGATAGCTGCTTTTGTAAGTCACTGACAACACACTACAATGTAATTATTGGATTTAAATTCAAGTTGCACTGGTTACCGATCAGCGACATGCTAAATAGCACAAAGCTACATTATTATTACCTGTTCCTGATATGATTTTATTCAAATTCGGACTCGAGTCAGTAACAATACAAAAGAATTATTTTTGTAAATGACGGGTTAGCGTGAAATAAAGCACAAATTGTTTGTGGGAAAAATTTGTTTATTTATTGACAAAATATGCTCAAATTGGCGATCTCCTACTCTAATGCAAGCTCGGCATCTCTTAAGAAAAGACGCTTTTAGAATTCCCAAATTCAATTTGGCTATCTCAGCAGCGGCTTGATGTATTTGTTTCCGCTAATGTTCTTCGTTTTGAACTGGTTCTGAAATCTGTATTCAATAAGCATTATTTTATTCAATAAATGCAGTTATAGCCCAGTACATTTTTGTTTCACCACAGATGGTCAAAGTTGAGGAAACAATATCAGAAGGTTATAAATCCCAAAATAGTCCTTATTTTATCATGGATTCCTTAAGATCTTTTAACTACATTGCATTTGTATATGATAAAGCAACTATCTAGAAATATTTTACAGAAAAAATGATAAAAGTATAACCTTATTTGTGCATGCAGCTAAAGACACCTTCTCCTTCAGTTTGTCGTGGTACTTATTGGCCAGCAGCGATCACCGGGGAGCCATGGCGACAACGCCAGCAGCCGAAGTCAAACTAACCTATTGAAATATCGATTTTGGCGTAAGTCGCTACAATAGGATGCTGGCTATATCGCAATGAGATCCCAAAGAGGAAGCGCCCCAATAGGTTAGTTTGGCTATGGGTATTAGCAACCTCGCTTTAAATTTAAGTGAGCTTTGTAGTGGAAGGAATGCTTCGTTCGGGTAGCATTAATTTTTGCAACTTGCGTGATCTTATTCGCTTTTGTTAGTTAATTGTTGTTTGTATCAAAATTGTGATACTTGTTCACCAAATATCCATTGTACAGGATCAGTCAATTATGCGATTTCTAAAATTAATGCAGATGGATTTCAAGTTACCTCTGTGCTAGAAAATCATAATTTACGAAAAAATCTATTAAGAAAGTCGTTTTTCAATTGATTCACTTATTTCACACCTACACTATACACTGTATAAAAAATTATGTTTTAGATTCTTGATTTTTTCTTTTTTTTTCAGTAAAACCGTTTGTCTGCCCTAACAGTTAGGGCCAGATCTACCGAAAATGTAGAGCAAGAGCACTGACTGGTATGCACTTGGAAGTAAGCAAATAAAGCACGCGTGCGAATGAAAATAGCTGCAAGCCATTAAAAATGAATGTTCTGGCGCTTAGAACGAGAGGCAATTCGAAGTTTCTAGACGCGGAAAAACACGGCCGTTTTCCCGGAAAATCGTGCTAACACACGAGCTTCCCTCTATTTGCCTAGCAAGATTCATGATAAGGTGAAATTATTTGCGGAACTCCTTGGTCTCCGCTTAATTTTCGTGTATTTGGGATTCGCTACTGTTAAGTGACTTCACGTGTCAGCAATTAAACTAAAAACAAGAGACAAGCATGTATGTTTACGCTGTGATTGAAGGTAACGCTTTCCGCCAAACAAAAAAAAATCATTATTGTGAGTAGAGTGGCCCCAGAGGAAAAAATGTGATTTAAGAGTTTTGTTCCTGCCTTGAGTTCTATTCTGGTATCGTAGCATAACCGTTTCGAAACCATTTAATATTCCTTTTTAGGCATGTGGCGAATTCTTCGTAACAAAACGAAATCTGGTTGGAAGATATTGAGTATTCCTGTTCCAATTACGAATAGTGTTGATACATGGTTTCCTAAATGCTCATGGCCATGATCATTCCAGAACGGAAGGGTATTACGTAAAAAACATATACAGGCTGTTTCAAATCCGACTCTCGCCTTTGGGATCTCGGAAAATGTAAGAGATACGAAGTCGCTTAAATTGGAGCAATGTTAAGTATTTAGATAATCAATAAAATGCCTCTTAGACAGTCTCGTAGTTCAAATTACTCCCGGAGAGAGACGGAATAAAACAGAATTTTCCCAAAATCGTTAAATATTTTCCTGATGTAATAGGATTTCAAAATAAATTGCACATTACCGTTGCCATTTTGCCTCCTTTACAAGATGGCATAATTTCAATATAACTTTTCGTCTCTTGTCCCTCCAGCATCAACTGTATTTTTCCTTATAGATGCCCTATTGGCTTTTCGCACAGATAAATATAGTTACCAAGCATTATAGTGATTTAAAAAAAGCAGAATTTCCTAGGTAGGCCTTTGAATAATCAAATAGTCATTTGTTTGGCCTACCAGATTTACCCCAAAATCACTTTTATTTTTTCCTGACTTGATTTGGATGGGATTCTGAAATAAATGCCGGGAAAATTCGTTTTTTTCTGAATTTCTCCAAACGTACTTTCTAAGCGGCAGTTTGTTGATTACCTGAATACGCAACGTTGCATCCATGTAAGCGGTTCATAAGTACAGCCAAGCGGAATCGCACAGTAGCCCTCTGTTGCGAGAGTCAGTGGACTACACAGTCGAGCAAATTTGCAAGCACAAAAGACAGACAGACAGACTCACAAACACTATGACTCAACAGCTAAGGTATGGGGGACCGCTGTGGCACACAACGATGACTGGACAATTTCCGAGATCCCTACGGTAAGGACCGAATTTGAGATTCTTGTATAATGTCAAAAAATCCTATAAAATGTCAACTTGTGCGCCGGCTATAAGTGAGCATGAAGTGAACGACAGCTAGTTCATAGTTGAAACCTTGTAGGAAAACGTACATAATGTCATTTAAGCCCTACATGGGGTCAATTAAACTGACATAATGCCACTTTTCAAGTTACGGAATACCCTTCCGGCTCTGGGCCGGGTTGAAAAAAAACTGAAGAAGTAAACTTGGCAATAACAAGAAAAATACTTTGAATGTAAAAAGTATTTTGACATTGTCAGCTAAAACTCGAATTGATTTGTTTAGTTAGCCATAATATTGATGTAGCTGAAGGCGTTAAGAATAGTTGAAGAAAACAGGTGGGATTAGAGATCTATATTTTCAATTTATCAATTCTGATCTACTATGTCAACAAGATAAATACTTGATATTTTGCTTAATTCTAACACATTTTTTTTGATGGTGGTAATAAATGCACAAGGAGCAATCCTTGATAAAACTTATGATAATAACGATTTGAGTCAAACATGGCTCAATAAAATGTTGCTTCGGAATGAAGTACGGATATATGAAGTATTTTTTTAAAGTTGTTATTTTAACCGACTATTTTAAGAACAGGAAGTGGGAAGACTACACTAAATTTTCACACAAAAGCTGTGTCATTACCACTTTTACTATGATCTGCTGCTAGAATGTGAACATACTTCTGGATGCTTCTGCCAAATATGAGGAAACTAACCTTTATTATATTGACAGTTTGACGTTAAATATGTAATAACAGTCTATTAGAATACGAAGTAGATATCAAATACTATTGACTAGCTCCTCCGGCGGTAAATACAAGCATTTAGATGAATTCTGTATCAATGTACAGTGCCTGCCACTAATGTGATGTAAAAATCATTTATCGATGCGGCCTTAAGCGTCGTTCGTATCTAGCTTAGTGACAGCTGTCAGACTATCAGTTTTTATAATTAATTTACATTTCACGGGCAGCACAAATCGCCGCGAGACCTTTGAAAATGAAAATCACATGAGAAGATGAGAATGGAAATCAAATAATCAAAACCATGAAAAGCACAAACAAAACTGTCAACTTGAAAAACAGTTAGGCTCAAATTATCAATACCCGCGAGGAATGTCAAATTTGTCAAGAACGTCTGATAAGGACTTGGCTATTAACACAAATTTTGGAACGCAACTTGAAATCAACACCACCATGTAACCCTCCCAGGGTTGAAATCGTGAATTCTTATTAACTGTAGTGGACTAGGGTGGAATGACAATCTATCAGTTACTACAAAACAATAATTTATTTTCTGATAGTACAAAGAAGCAGTCCCGACACTTGATTAACAGATTTAAGTCTATAAAATCTGTCTCCGTAAACTTAATCCGGTGCTGTTGCGTTTTGTAGAACTTCCGATTTCACTGTTTTTTCACTTGAAACTTATAGAGGGTAGTCTGATACATTATTTGAAAACAGGAAAAGTGTGGATGAAGCACTTTTTTCATGAAATTTTTTTCCCAAAACACTGTATTTTTAACAGTTTTTCCATCATTAACTCCACCGCCATCTGCCGTATGACGTTGACGTCTGTGCATATGTCATAGTATATGAGAGGCGCTTGCCTGCACTGTTGCCAGATTGGGCTCCGCATTTAGGGGAAAATATGGAAAGTGGAAAATTTATATACGTATAATAAATAATGAAACACAAAAGCGAAAAACTCAAACAAACAACAGTGGCAAAATAAAAAGCGATGCTTAATAATTATAAAACAAAACATAACAGTAGTAAACTAAAAAACAATTGTAAGTAATTATAAAAACAGTAAAACAAGAAACAATTCCATGTAATTATAAAAATAAAAAACAACACAGTAAAATAAAAAGCAATTCTAAGTTGTAACAAAAAAATAACAGTAGTAAAACAAAAAAAAACAATTTCATGTAATTATAAAGAGCAACAAACAGTAAAATAAAAAGCAATTCTAAGTGATAACAAAAAGTAAAAACAGTAAATTAAAAAACATATCCAAAAACTAAAATGAACAGAAAGTATTCAATACTAAAAGGTATACTTTGCGGCTATTTGTCGCAATATATTTTTGAATCGGTCTCCGGGTCTAGGACCATAGAGCCCCCACCAAATCAACTGGTCAATATATTCGGGTAAATGAGGCGATTGCATGACACCCAGCCGTCTCAAAAATTGCTTTAATCTAGACCAATGCCCTTCAATTTCATTGTGCACACTCCTATCACTGGATCCACAAAATTTAGTGTGCGGTTCAATGTTTCATGGATGTAGGGGGAAACACCTCCTAGGTTCCCCAAGCGATTGTAGCCGGCCCAACCGTCCTTCCAGTTTTCTGTTCCCGGCTTGACAAATTTTAGTATTTCGCTCTCAAGCGTAGTCGCACTCCTATTTGGAACATAAATAATGCGCCCACGTTTCGTGGAGACATCGAAGACGCCCAGGACCCACAGTTCCCTGTGTTCTTTTTTGTTTTCTATAATTACATGGAATTGTTTCTTGTTTTACTGTTTTTATAATTATTTACAATTGTTTTTTAGTTTACTTCTGTTATAGTTTGTTATATTAAGAATCGCTTTTTATTTTGCCACTGTTGTTTGTTTCAGTTTTTCGCTTTTGTGTTTCATTATTCAAACATAAATTTTCCACTTTCCATACTTTCCCCTTAATGCGGAGCCCAATCTGGCAACAGTGCAGGCAAGCGCCTCTCATATACTATGACATATGCACAGATGTCAACGTCATACGGCGGATGGCGGTGGAGTTAATGGTGGAAAAACTGCTAAAAATAGAGTGATTTGGGAAAAAAATTTCATGAAAAAAGTGCTTCATCCACACTTCTCTGGTTTTAAAATAATCTATAAGACTATCCTCTATAAGTTGTGAAAAAACAGTGAAATCGGAAAATCTACAAAACGCAACAGCACCCTTAATCCGTTGTAACTAAAGATTCTACGCAGGTAGTTAGTAGCTGCTGACAATGAGCCCAGTGGTTGTGCCAGGCACCATATATATCTTCTCTCACTTTTCACAGTGGATGTCCGCTACACGGTAGTCCCGCGTAACCTTTATCCTTATTTCACGTGAATATCTATAATTTTGGCTCTGCTGCACTACGTATCATCTGTCTGTCGCCACCGTCGATCCGCTCTCTATCATTGATCGGGCCAGACTGCCCCTTTCCTCGGCCTAGGGATGCAACAACGATATATCGGAAAACCGATAAATATCGATATATCGACAACTAAAGATATCGATATTGACGATACGCCATATCGATATATCGATATCGAAAAATTCAATTTATCGTATCAAAATATCTAAAAACCCACCCAGATTAAAATACCCACAAAAACGGGTAAAACGCTTGACTGGCAACGTGACAACACTGACTAACTAGAAAATGAGGTATGACGTTATGACAAGTGGCAAGTGTATATGTTTTGTGATAAGATATACAGGGTGACTTCGAAGTTGAGTCATTTATTTTAACAGTGAGTAGATCTGTTCAAAAGAAATGTTTTTTTCCTTTACCATTTTTCTGGTAAAATTAAAGTAACAAAGTTATAGCCCTTTGGAAGTTTGAGTACCGCCCTGTCTCAATAATAATATCATGTACTCGTGTTTGGCAACAACGGATATAATCCGCCTTACCGGTTCATCGC